GAAAAATATTACAAACAAGAAAATGTGACAAAATCTCTCATTTCCTGAGAGTTCATTAATTTCTAATTTTTTCGTATTTCGGTGATACCTACAAAAGACTGCGCACCTTTAATTAGTTGAGTTAAGAGAGAAACCAAACACGTAATTTGGCCTGGAGCGGCGAGCGGCGCGGCGCAAAGAGAAATGATGACGAGGACTTGAGATGAAAAGGAGGCTTCTCCTTCGACGCGGCGGTCGGCATGTAACACATATTAGCGCCTACGAGACTGCATGAATACTTCACGCATTACGTCAAACACAGTACGGTCAACAGCGGTCGGCGCGGCGTGAATCGCACAGTGCCTACAAGACCACATGAATACCTCACGCATTGCGCCAAACACAGTGTGGTCAGCGCGGCACGCCGGCGGAAGTTGAAATTATTAAACCACATTTATGTTTGTTCTCTTTTAATTGTTTAGTTCATTTCTTACAAATGAAAGGCCTTGTCCCCACAGAGATAGGTTTACGGAACTGAACTTTCGCGCGAAGTCCCGTGAAATTTTGCTAGTAATGTTGACAGACCTTACGCAAAAAATGTGGTCAACACGAGTGAACGCTTGTTATGCACCCCTCTCCCTCCGGCACGTTCACTTGATGGTTTTTATTGATGTTTCAAAATGAATGAGAAGAGGGCGGCCCATGGGCGGCAAGTAGGTAAATCCGGCCATGTAGGTCATACAATATTGGAATTAGATTGTCTGAATATTGCAGTTTAGAAATCAGAACTAAGAGTCTAAGTCATTTTAAGTCTTAATCCATCATTTTTGGGGATGAAAACCATTGAACTAAAATTCAATTTTACACTTCCTTAATTTGCAAAAGGAAAAAATGGAACCTCTCCTTATTTTTCAAAAATACTGGGGAGCAGTAATTATTGAAAACTGACTGAAAATATCTGTTTTTTCCCCAATTACGAGTATTTTAAAAATTGCTCTCTTGAAAATTGTGCCAATTTCCTAAAAAAAAAAATATTACTGCGGAAGACAAGAATGGGCCGATCAAGTTAAAATTGTGCACTTACCAACGCCATTCCCAAATAGCACAGCCGCACAGATTGCAATAAGTAGCAATTGCGTTGTAAAAATATTGCAATTTCACTGAGTGTTGTGTATGTTGCCTACCTCCTATTTGAAGGGACCCCGTTTATTGAAACTTATTGCAATAAAATTAAAATAAGTGATAATTTTTTATCGCATTGCAAATTGCCTATCTCTTTGACACATGGAGCTCATTTTGTTGATTGTTTAAAATTGGCATAAATCAGCTAAATAATGTAAAAATATTGCAATTTAATGATGACAAAAATTACAATGTTATTGAAATTAAGTCGCAATTTAATTTCAACATTTTCGTTGCACTGTGCTACTTGGGTCATACAAGGTACCTAGTTGTTTAACCTCATTTGTTTGTGACCTATAATTCAAAATATCAAGTGATATAATACTGAAAATTGTAAAATTAACAGCTTTAAGTCGGCACATAGGAACTTACCTTGCGGTTAGCATAATCAGGAAACTTTCCTCTCAGCTGTTCAATATTCTCCTCTCCATGGGTCGAGTTTTCTTCTATATGCGAGTTTTCCTCGTTAACAGATCCATTGGCATCGAGAGCACCTTTTGAGATGAGCAGCTGGAATTCTGTCGAGTGCCGGTCCCGAATATGATCCAAGGCCTCGTGCCTCTCAGCGTAGCTACTGTCGCACAAGTGGCATTTGAACGGCAAATCCGTCGACCCTGGCACAACTGAAACCTGGTCAATTGTCGGTGTAGAAGAGTCCACCGTCGGCTGAAGGAGCAGTGGAGGATTGTTGGGCCGGCTATCTACCTCAGAATTGTCTCTCTCCTCGGGGCGAGGCGAGTCTTTGACAACATCTATTTCCTCGCTACTCCCCTGACTTTCGTACTCGCTGAGGTTGCCATCGCGTTGTTCATTCTCGCAATCGCTATGGTTGCCACTGTCGAGTCTCTCACTTTCTACCGGTTTTCCATTGTGTTTCTCGGACATGTGCTTCTTGAGGTTGTCCAGTGTAGAGAAGGTTGAACTTGGGCAGTTTTTACATTTGTAAGGTCTCTCTGGGACGTTGCGGGTCGTGAAATTGAGTGCTGAGTTGGGCTTGTTGCAATCGACAGGGTTCACCTCGGCGGTTTGGACTGGACTGCTGTGTTTGCGCTGTAAATGTCTATCGCAGTTTGACTTGGTGGTGAATAAAAGAGGGCACTGGGGACATTTGTAGGGCTTTTGACCCGTGTGGGTCAGAACGTGGCGGCGGAGAGAGGATGTCCAAGGGAACTTCCTGCTGCAATACGGGCATGACACCCGGTTCGGTGCCAAGGAGTAAGCGCTTTTTTTCTTTACTTGACCTGTGCTGCTGTTCTCTGGTTCCGACCTGCAACAAATCCAATGGAAATTTAATATTTGAATTTCCAAAGCCAAAAAAAAACTGTATCCCTAGCGATGGCTCTTAAAAAAAAATTCTACAAAAAGTTGTCAAAAAAAATGTGAAAAACTTGTTAATTATAAAAGTTTGTAAATTTTAAGTAAAAATCCTCTTAAAATACTCGTTTTAGGAAACCCTTTTGTAGAAATCTTTTAGATACAAAAATAGTGTTATTTTAATTAAAAGAAAACGTAAAATTTACGTAAAAATCAACAAACTATATCCTCAATTTTTGTGGACTGCAACTTTTCCTTTTATACTGTACTGTTCACCACTTTTTTTTCCTCGTTTTTGCTCGCTGGAAGTTTATAGAAAAAAACGTAAAAATTACTTAAAAAAGTTTACTTTAAATTTTTCTTCAACTTTATGTGTAAAAAAGCCCCCAAAAAGGTTTCCTGATGCGAATATTTCGAGAGTTTTTTTACGTAATTTTCAAGCGGTTTAGAAGTAAATTTTAAGTTCTCTTAAAATTTAGGAGTTTTTTTCGACTTTTCTCAACAGCCACTGCTACTAGAGATGTAATTTGAGTTAAATGTAATTCATAGTGTCTAGAATTTGTGAAACCGTGCATGTCATGAAATAATTATCTTGAGGTAAAGACAGAAAAAAATTCCTGTATTCCTGAAGATTTTTTGATCCTTGTAATAATATTTTTCAAACAGTGCCTACCTCTAGTCTAGATAATTATCAATTAGATTGCAGAGTATAAAAAGAAAACTTGCTGCTTTAACATTGCAACCCCTTGTTTCACAACAGGATTAGTCAAACTTTTTAAAGGTATAACTCATCTTATACCTATAATTGCAGTTTTGAAGAAAAGATAGTTAGAATAAACTTGTTTTCTCATGTTGCATTTCAAAATTGATTAATTTATTTGTTTAAACCTATGTAAAGAATCGATAAACAGGGCGTTCGCAACGAACACTTTAATAATCGATTCTTTACCATAGCTTCAAATGAAGTAACATCGATAATCGATCATTCACGCCTTGCCACTCATGTATCTATAAAGTGCCCTTCACAATTTTGAAAAATTGAGATGAAATCATGCTCCTGTGCAAGCAAATGCATTCAATTCGAATAGAAAAATCAAAATGGTATCAACTAATCAACTCACTTGTTCTCATCACTGCCGGAGA